CTGAGTCCAGTTCTGGGCTCCCCAGTACAAAAGAGACATGGACATACTGAAGAGAATCCAGTGAAGGGCCACAAGGATCATTAAGGGTCTGGAGCATCTCTCCTACGAATAAAGGCTGAGAGAGCTAGAAACATTCAGCCTGGAGAAATGTAGGCTCAAGGGGCACCTCATCAATGTGTGTACATACCTGAGGGAGGGCGCAAAGAGGAGGGAGCCAGGCTCTTTCCAGTGGTGCCCAGTGACAGGACCAGAGGCAATGGGCACATACTGAAACACAGGAGGTTCCCTCTCAATATCAGGAAACACTTACTCTCTGTGGAGGCAACCAAGCACTGGAGTAGGTTGCCCAGAAAGACCATGTAGTCTCCATACTTGGAGATATTAAAAAGCCAACTGGACATATTCCTGGGCAACCAGCTCCAGGTGGCCCTGCTTGAGCAGGGGATTGGACCAGATGACCTCCAGAGGTCCTGCCAGCCTCAGCCATCCCATGACTTCACACAGGAAGCAGCAGACAAACACCGTTTTCTTTTTCCTCATGGTTTACACAAGTACAGCAAAACCAAGAGAACAGGTCACAGATTTTTCTACAGCCAAGGAGTCAGGTCAGTCCCTGGGCCGACAGCATGCAGGACAGAGGAGCAGAAGGGACCTTGTGTGGCACTGTTGGTTCCTTGCTCCTGCCACATTCATTCTGTGGACCAAGAAGCTCCCTGTTAATCCCACCTAGGTTGCCACTGCATGCTGTGATGAATAGCATCAGCCACAAACCTGGCAGGGGCAGAAACTGGCCTCAGGCATTAGTCACCTGCACACCAGTACTGACACTTGCACAAGCAGGACAACTGCACCCCTGACGCTCTTGTGACACAACTGTAACAGTCTCGTAACACAGGCACCGCCAAAGAACACTAGATCCAGGACAGAAACTGCAGATAAAGCCTCTCAGGCAGCAGCTCCAGCGCCAGGTATTCATTGCTGAGCCCCACCTACCCAACAAAGCCAGGTGACACACGAAAGACATGCTGATGCTTGCTGTACTCGCTCTACTAACCAACTGCAAACTTCACCCTAACCCATCTGTACCCTGAGGTGATCCTCCCCACACTCCCTTACCACCTCTGAGCTACCCAGCCTGCTCAGGTGGGGTCTGCAGAGGCACAGTTGGGCAGAAAGAGCTCCCTGCAATTTTGAAGAGCTGCTGTAGAACAGCCAACAGTGCTGGGCACCCCTTTCCAGGGCAAAAGAGGCACACAGAGCTTCAGATGAGGCATAGTTCCCTCCTCATGTGTAGGCTTGGTACAGCATGAAGTTACTTGTCTCCAAAAGTACACCTAAAGAGCCTCAAGTGTTTGCATCCACTAAGGATCGCACATTGCACTTCTCAGCATTAGTTTGTGCATGCTGACCAGCAACAGCAGTAACTGTTTCTCCTTCCCAAATTGTTCCTGTCCCTTGGAAAAAGGGTGACAGGGTCCATGTTCACACTGTACCCATGTGCTGCGCAAGACCTGCTGTCATCACCTGTAAACCTGAAGCCACCAGCTTCCCCTACACACCACAGGGGGACTGCTTTGTTTCAGGTATGAGCAGAACTGCACTGTGCTGTGCATGTTTGAATTATGTTAAATATCTCCTGCAACACATCAAATGGGTTTAATTCACAGAACAATGCATTTTTTTGGACTTACCACATTTAGCTTCCATTAAGGGAGGTAACAAACCCTTTTATCATGTGCATTATAAACACTAGAAAGCAAGTACCCCAACAGAGGGTAACTTTCTTCTGCTTCCAGAGATCTCATGTGAGACAAACTATAAGCCAAAGAGAGTAATATTCAAAATAGACTTTTTCATGCCCTCCTCCTCTCATATGCTATTGTTTCAATGCTGTTAAAAGCATTAAACAACACTCCTCTTTAAAAGCCAGGTCAATCCTTCCAACCTTTAAGCCCATCTATTCAAAATGCCAAGTTATTACACATAACTGTCAGGTCAGATGCGCCCAATGAGTAATATTTTTACAGACTTTTTTTTTAAACAGTATCTTTAGCTTCCAAAATACAGGCCCCCTAAGGCTGGTTGCCTTTCCTTCTGCATCTGGCAGTAAGTGCTAGCCCTTTGCATGCTCATAATAGGCTGAGAGGTCAGGTCTTTCCTCACATACAATGATAATTTACTAGTGTGTTTGTTTTCTCAGCGTAGCAGTTACCTCTGTTGCCTTCCTTATTCCCAGGAGAGCGTACACATCCCACAACCCACCATAACATCACAACAGCACTCACACCATCCGTGTCACACCAGAGAGGCAGGATCAGCCCTCAGTTATTCATGTTTGAGGGCAATGCCCTGATAAAGCAAATATGAAGCAAGCCAGGTGGGGAAGGAAGGACATTGCTATACCTATATATTTATAGAGACAGAAGCAGATATCCCAGCTCATTTTGGAGTTACCATTCTGGAGACAGAACAGACCTGGAGTGAGGCAAACAGATGCCAGAAGGAACTATTTCAAACAGACCAAGCACGTCCCCTTCCTTCGCTGCTACACACCCTTCTCAGAGACTGCTGATGTTATGTAAACCTGATACAAGCTCACAGGATAGAAGTGCTCAACAGCAGCACCAGGCTCTATAAATAAAGTAGCCAGCAAAGCCCTAACTCTTACTACAACATAGCCTCTGATTAAATTTGCACAATGGCAACAGCTTTTGGAGAGAAAAATCTAAATAGCAAGTCTAGTCAGAAGCTAAAATGCATTGATAGCGAGCCACTCACACCTGTAATAGAGCTGACCACATCTACTTTTCATGAGAAAAAAAACTACGTAAGAAAGGTCAATCGATGCTCTTGAAGGTCTGACTGTTGAAAGATTTAAGCCCTTCAACTCATTAGCATTATGCCTCAGAATATCTGAATAAAATCAGCTCTTGCTTTCTGCCTGAACACTATTTAGGCTGGGGGTATCATCTTGTGTAAAAGGATTTGTAAAGGAGGTTTCTTTTAGAGAAGTTCTTACCATTTAATCCAGTTACCCTCTGTGTTACTGAGAATGACCCTGAGAAGGGCTGGGGGCAGCTGGGAGGTTGAACGTGGAATCAGGTCTCTTGGCATCACCTTGGCTTTTGCTGCTGCTGCTGTTATGTCGTAGCCTTTTATGTTTGCAGAATATACTAGTAACTGCAAGTTTTATAAAAGTAAAACTTCATCCCAGTGGACAGATTCTCCCACTTACACAAGCTAAACAAGTTAGATGCACTAAGTGACCCTGAAATGCCTTCTGCTCCTTAGCATATTATTTCACTGTCAACTCAACCAACTAACATTGTTAGTTTTTACCCTAAATGTGTCCGAGTGCAGCTGAAGCGTTTTGATTCTTACTCTGGGCACATGGTAGTATTTCATAGACAATTAAAAATTTAGAATGCAATGAATCTCTGTTCTGAAGACTGATGTTCAGATTTCTTATTCCTGACTGAATTAAAAAAAAAACCTGCAGGTACAAGCAGTACAGCAGAGCTGTCTATCACTGCACAGCAGACCAATGGTCACTGTGCTGCACTTCCCAGCAGCTCCAGACTCCATCCCGGCACAGGAACAGAGCAGAGATTCTTCACAGCGAGAGCACCGAGAGAGACCCAATGAGTCACAGGAGCCAGCATTGGCAAGAGAGCAGCTGCAGCACAAACAAGTAGCTCAGATTTCATCAAATGAAAGGCAGTAAAGAGCCAAAAGACTTTCTAATATTTACTACAATAATTTGCTATCAGAGGGGAGAGGGGGGACATCTGAGTCTTTTCTGACTGTATCTGCTAACAGAACCAGGCATTCTTCTATCAGTTCAGGGATTACAGGAAAATACAAAAATCACAACAATACAATCCATAATCTGCTTCCACTCAAACATTAACCGGGAACTATGATAACCGCTGTTTCATTTGCATTAAGCCATCAGCTAAAGCCTATCCTCCCCCAGGGGGGAAAGCCCCACAGAAATACAATGTTTCTGCAAGTCATTTTCATAATCTGCCTATTAGAGATGAGACCTTAAAAGCCCTGCTGCAAACTCACGACTCACTAATCCACCCACCCATTTTATTAAACTTTTTTTCAACTGAGTAGCAGTGCTTTATCCTCAGATTATGGCTACAGCAAATTCAGTTGCATCAAATCTGAAAGGGAAACAGCTTAATTTATCTTAATGGCAGTTTAGGTGCAGAGGCTAAAATTAGTAAACTTCAATTAAAACCTTTAAAACAAAGAATCTTTCTTTTCCTTTAATATTTCCAGCAAGTGAACTATGAAGTATTGGTAAACACTGTGCAAACTGTGAACTCAGCTAAAGCAAACGTACTTATTTCTCCAATACAGAATCTTCTACGAAGCAGAAGCTGACTGCAGAGCCTTAGATGAGAGACACACAGGCTGCTGCTTTTATTCCATTGAATTTGGAAAGTTTATAGAAGAAGAGCAGGTTAAATCTTCCACAAACAAAAAGTACACAAAATACGCAGAGACTGTCCATACTTAATCCGTATTTTAGCCCAAAGAGTGCAGAAGCTCTGAGAAAAGTACCAAGTTACTCTCCAGTTTGAAACCACAAGAAGTTCTGTCCCCAGTGGTGGTTTGACAGGGCCGACAGTCAAGACCTGTAGCACTGGAGCTGGGCTGCTCAGCATCCTGCTGACATGAGGGCTGGCCCTCCAACCTCTTCCAGTGGCTCAACTGTCACTGGTCCAACAAAAGCCAAACTTTGCAACACATTTGGTCATCCTTGTTTTAAAACATTACTTAAATGTGCAAGTGGCTTCTAAGTCCATAACCACGTTTAGTTCTAAATTAGTCTTAAAACTCCTCCTGTGTGCTCATGCTCCCAGCTTATTAATCCCTCCTGACAGTAAATAAACCTGCTGCTAACCTACTTGTCAATATAAAAACCAGCTGCCCTCTTTTCTCTCACCTTTGAAGGCCCACAGTTAAAGAAAATTAAACACATAGGCTTGAAGCTACACCATATATTTGTAAATAAAATAATTTGACAGAACAAGATTACAAAGTACGAAATGAGCCCTTTCAGGAATTTTTAACTACAAGAGAAGTCAATGTTAAGTCCATTTTGTAAAGTTTTAAACAAGTATTACTGAGGAATAGGAGTATTACCATTAAACACCTTTTTTTAATGCTTTTTAAAAAAGCTCTAACCATATACATCAATTTCAGATGAAAAATTCGACACAGTCATTGGTTTGGTTACAGCTTCAGGGATCAGTGCAGCACAGTGCAAGTTTCATTCACAGATAAAAAGATATCTGAAGTAGGTACAAATACATTCTCAAAAAATACAGGATGTGATCTAACTCTCAGCAACCCTTTTAGGGGTGAGAAAGGTGCTGAAGATAAGCATAAGGTATGGAAACAAAGGGGAAAGTAAACAAGGAGATGGACTCGTTAACAAGACAAGTTAATATTTGACAGCTTAAGAAAGAGGAAACAATTGCATCACGAAGAAAATGATTGTTAGTCATTAGAAGGTATGTACAAGGGAGGTTTGTACTTTGATTCTCTAGAAAAACTGAAGCTGACAGGTCTCCACTCCTGAAATAGAAATATTGAGAGGTACAAAAAGTAAGCACTATTAACTCAAAGTGCATTCTCAGAATAGCCCATTTTTCCCTGCTGCAGGTCACCATTCCCCCTTCTTTCAAGAAAAAAGTATGCATATTTCAGCTAGCCTTTCAATACATATAATCTAGCAATTTTACAGAATCTTCCTGGTCCCAAGTCTGCATCAGAAAGTGTTTTCCCCTTTGTGTATTTATTTCCAAGTAGAACAAATACTCTTCAGTGCTTTTATAAAAAGCCTTATTTTTAGAAATTGTCTAAGCTAGAAATATTAATGCAATTTTCACCTGAAGCAATGTCTTGCAAACTATGAATGTAGAGTGCCTCTCTAAAGATGCTAAGTGTATCTTTAGCTACCAGAAATCTCATGGAGGGGTTCAGCTTTGAAGTGCTCTGCTAATTTTTATTAAAAAATATGACTGACACTTTCAGCATACAGAATGGGAGACTAGTGCAACATGCAGCATTGATTGTTTATTCAATAAATATTTAACCCAATTATTGCCAACCAAGGCAAACAGTGCAGAAATTGTCATTCAGAGATACAAAACTTTAACATTTTTTGTATAAAGTCAGTTGCTACTATATTTATACAACTATTTCAAAGAGGTCTTTCTGCTTCAAAATTGATGCTATCAGTATAAAAATACAGAAACAAATATTTGGGGGTTTAACGTGTCTTTACAAGTCTAACTTTTACATTTATATGGGAACATGATGCTTCGGTACTCAAGAAATAAAAATGAATACTATGATAGAGACATTTTCTGCACTGATGATTCCATTACAGTCCTTAAATACATCTTTCTTGGTCCTGGGTATACATTTAGAATGAAATAACTTGCATCTCACATTTATCCTGAGGTCAGCTGTGTAAAAAGGAAAGCCAGTTTTATAAGGATACTTGCAGACTTTTTGTTGAAAATATGAGGTTATTTTTAAATGAGCCAATAAAATTCCTGGGGAGAAAAAAACGCAATCTTCTCACCAATGTTTTAAGAAAAAATCTAGTGTCATTTTTGGGAATTATTTCCAAAAATATACAGGCTATCACATCCAAATGCTGTATCACCCAACTAAAATTTCAGTATGCATTTGCCAAATTTGAAACTTAGTAACTGTTCTGAAAAGAAAATGTGTAAATCCCCACAAAGAGTCTCCCTAAGCTTCTCATCTCAAGATCCTGACCCACAACACAACTTCTGCAAGGAGAACCCTGCTGAAGCCTGTGGGAACCTGCAGAGTCTTCGGGTCTGACTGCACAGGTGAGGACATGTGATTTGGGTCTCCATCACCCACCACGAGGTACAGTTATGACCTTATCAAAGCTCCACTTTGAACACAGCAGTTATTTTCAATAGCACCAACAATCTCTCAGATACCAGCACTAGGCGACATAAAATAGGTTTGTTTCTTCCTGAATCAGCACAATTGATACAAGGCACTGTTTGGCATAGGAAGTCATAAGCAAGAGCAAAACAAGAGTTTCCAAGTTTTGTGACATTTAGGTTTGTAAATTACATCACCTTTCAACTTATTATATACCACGGCTAGAAAAACAACATAGTCTACAGGATTAACGAAAACATCACCATCCCATGCATGCTCACAGTTTTCCTTCCCATATCCAAAAAACCTCCACATAACATATTAATATGAAACATTAGAAAGTATGGGTTGTCAAATTAAGAAAGTACATTTTATTCTCCGGTCTTCCACAAAAGCCTAACCTAGACACAACTCAAGTATATGAGGTTGGAAAATATTCTGATAACATTTGCACCAGTCTATCCCTGCAGAGGAGAAAAAAAACAACTATTGTCTAGAGAATTCATAGATTGAGGCACATCGCAATCGAAGATATTCAGGCATATTTTATGGCTAGAACAGGATTTTTCTGAGGAACCTCACTACAGACTCCCCCAAAAGCAGCTCCATATGGTTTGAAACAACTTGCAACACATGGAAAAAACGTTTTGTCCTTAATCACTACTGTCTTCATCATCATCATCATCAGATACATCGTTTAAAGATGACTTAGGTGACTGGCTGTAGGAGTCTGATCTAGCGGATTGACATGCAGTCATCTCCCCAGTAGAAAGAAGATCATAGCAGAAGTCGCAGATTCTCACTGGCTTGGAAGACTGGCTCGGGAGAAGAAACCTCTTTTCAGAGCAAGGCCCACACACAACAAAGCCACACTTGCGACAGTGATGACGACGGTTGACGGGCGTAAATTTTGCCTTCTGACAGCGCATGCACACCGTGGCTTCCGAGTCCGGTACCCAGACAGCTGCATGTTCATTGCTAGGAGTCTTCCCACTTTTGGAAAGCAAATCAGAAACACACTTATTTATGTGATTCATCCACTCAGACTTCTCTGTAGCAGTGGCAGCGTAAACTGCAAAAGACTTTGTGGGTGTCTTGATGAGCCACCCGTTCCGTAAGTCTCCCTCATCCTGGATGGAATCAATAGTGACGTTTTCCAGCGGGATTATGTGCTGCTTATTGTATTTCTTCTTCTGGATGACAATGTTACCATAAACGAGAATGTCATTGAACAGAAAGAACTGCCTTGCTTTGGGCTTCTTCCTACACAGCTTTGTTAGTACTCCCTCTCCAATGAGAACACGACCAGGAATAGTCAGAGGTTGACCAGCTGCTCCAAAGCAGTTTTCCACTATACTTATTCTTCTAGTATTTGCCTCACTGTTTGCCAAGCGATCCACCATCTTTCACAAGTATCCTAAAATTAGAAAAAAGTTTGTTATTAGAACAGGACTGATTCAACAGCAAGCAGCCTTCCCCAAGGAAGGTACCAGCCCCGCATTTCTTAAAATATCTAACAGCATCCACTGGCTCAGAGGAATCGACTTGGGCTAGATTTAACACCTAAGAATTTTTAGCAACCAATTAGTCTTTTTTCCAAAAGCAAAAATGTTCCATGCAGCTGACAGCTATCTTTATCACACAGATAGCACCTACGGCACTGCTTTTGAAAGCCTCTGGCAACAAACTAGTTCCTCTCTAGTAAGGTTACTGCATCCTGGTTTAATGCTTGTATTTCTCTGCATATCCTCCTGTACCTACTCTCCAGATGGCAACAGGAAGTATCATCCATCATTCCAAATTCTAATGCTGCAGAAACATCAACTTAACTGAGCAGCCTGAAGACCCACGCTAATTTTAACACAACAAACAAATTACATAATTGACGTTCACATGGGAAATCACACTCCCCAAGCTCAGTACTGCTCTTTTTTTCCAGTATGTAAACCTCAAATCATGGGCCAAACTCCTGAATCTACCTTCTAGAAACATTTTGTACAGGCCACAACTTGCACCCCCCCACCTGCTTTCACAGCAAACTCTGGAGCCAGGAGCAGGGAGTGAGTGAGTCATGCCTGGTGGCTCACCACCTGCTTGCTGCTGCCCTGTTTTTGCAGGAGCCCCACAGTGCCTCCCTCCTCACCTACTCAAACCACATCTGCATCTCTCACACTCAGGCAATGTACACAGGCAGACCTACTCAGAGGACAAGCCACACAGCTCACAACTGCTCTTGAGAAAGACTAAGTGACCTGCCCCAGCTGAAACTTTAGAAAAGACGACTTCATATTTCACAAAAGTGCTAATGAATTGAAGAGTACATATGTTCCAATTACGGATTAAAACCCCACCTCGTCATTCCCCAAGCAGTAAATAAGATTTTCTCTTGTAAGGGTGAGATATCTAAGGCATCCAACAGTGAACTAAAAGTAAGAAGTCACTATAGTGATTCATACCTTGGCAAATCACTCTTTAGACTATCTTTTACTCCAGAGTTTCCCAGGCAGAAGTCTGCAAAGGAAACTCTTGTCAGTCTGACCCAGATCTGCTCCCCCCAAACTCCTTGTGATATAGCCAGGAACCTGAACTGTGTGCTTGATGGAGAGCAGCAAGATATCTGGCAGAGGCAAGTACTATGGACAGATGTTTGTCTCAGCATGAAGAAGACACTCTCCAGTGCCTTCCACAGGGCTGATGCTCACAACGCCCTTTGCTTGTACAAGCACCGCTTTGGACAGGCCTGAAGAAGAGCTGAGCAGCAAATACTCCAGTCTCTACTTCTGGCACATCATGACACAATCCCAGTTTGGGAAGTCCTCTACATTACCTACCTTTTCTTTTAGATCTACATTGCCTGACATTAATACAGCATCAGCCTACAACAGAGAGGAAACTGGGCTGAAACAGGGCTCCGACTTGATGCTGCTCAAACTCCCCTGCTCTGCCATAACCTGATCCAATCAACCCTCTTCCTATGCATCAAAGCACAGATACTTCCTTACAAAATAGGGATGAAACCTCTCATCAGGCCTCATCTAAATAAGTATGTTACTGTGATTACACAAATCCACATGCCCAATGTTAAGTATGGTCATTGTAAGTTACTGCTTTGAAAGTTTAATTATCTGCACACTGAAACAGGACTATTAAGGAGGACAAGTGAGCTTGCACAGATATAACTGATATAACTACCTTTTTTAAGCCCTGCACTCAACATCATCTTGTATCAAAGTCTAACATTGAAGAGAGAAGAATCTCTAAAAGTAATTTCTCAGCACTATTTTTGAACTTCCTTTACATGCCTTATAGGTTTAGTTATAATATGTGAATACTGTGTTAACTAGTTTTATAGTTAGGGGAATTACAAAGCTACCAAATCCGAAAGTATTTTGATCTGCAGAAAGTGAAGACAAAACAAAAACTGCCAAGCAGAAAGTAATAAGAAGGGAAGGCAAAAAATAAACTAGCAGCCTTTTTAGATGTACTTGCTGTAGTCCTAGTTTTTAAAATCAAATTAGGTGCCTGACTGCTGAAGCCCAGGACTTCGAATGAGAGTTAATTGCCATTAACTGTCAGGTAAACATGCCCATCTAACAACATACTAGCAATAAACAGCCTTTGCAAGTGTCAAAGCTGAACCAACAGCCCTTCAAACTTAGAAAGCAAAGAGTCAGTCACAGGGTCAGTCTGAAGTTATTTAGTAATCCCATGTTCCCTGTAAAGCGCAGAAGGACATCAGTCAGAGTGCAAAGAGGACAGACCAGAAGAATACGCTTTCTGCAGGTACAAATCAATATACGCTACTTCTAAACGTACACTTTTATACAAGTTATCTACAAATTACAGCAAGTTAAATGCTTTTGGTAGTGCCCAAGGGGGAACACCACCCCCACCCCCAAAAGAAAACCACAAATACAGCCATACTGATGAGTTTCAGTGAAGAGAGCTCTTGGTATGAAATTACAGCAACCTGTAGGAAGCAGTTGCTGCTCCACAGTTCTAACTCAGCCGTTCTGCACTCCCTGCCAATAATCTGCAAACTCAGTCCAAGGTCACCACAAAAGCTTTCAAAATACAAGCCACTGGGAGAAGAAAACAGGGGAGAAAAAGCTAAAGGTTTTAATTAACTGTTCCCTAGGAGGACCTAAGAGAAAACAACTCTAACCAGGATCGTTTAATAATCATCATGGCTTGAAACCAAGACGCATGACTCCGGAACTTGTGCTGAAGGCTGTACTTTGAGCTTGTTGTGAAAATAATCACTTGCTGGACTTAAAGCAAGAATCCGGGGCAAGTTAAGGACTATTAAGGAAGACAAGATAATCGCATATCTTCCAAACTGAAATTTTTTGCTATAATGTTTAACATTGTCAGCAGCCAGCCTCAATTAAGGCAGTTAATGCCACAGACTGCTGATGGATACTGATTCCACTTTTCCAGGGCACGAATTGTATTTTCCCACACTAAGAGATTAGACCTCTTAAAATAAGCACTCTGCCTTTTTTCTCATAAGTCTTTAAAGAATCAAAAATTAAAAATCCATCTGAAATCCTATGCACGCTAATGTTCATTCATCTTCACTAGCCTTTTCTGAGAAAGGAAGTTCAGAAATGGATACAAAACTACCCAAAACGCATCATGATTACAAGTAAGAATGAAACATGGAAAAAATAGACCAGAAATACAAAAGAGAAGACATCCCTAAGCCACAAAAGCTAAAGTTAGGAGAAATACACCTCTTCCTCTCAAGAGCACACCAATCAAAAAGATACTAAATTAAAATTGTCTGGACACACAAAGAACTTTTAATCCCAAAATGTCACAGTATAAAAGCAAAGTTATCAATTACCAGTATTTAAAGACTACACTAATCTTGTCTTAAAGCATATTTAAGATATATTGTAAGAGATAACAGATCATACCCTGGAACTGGGTGGCAATACCCTCCTCTCTTCCAGCTAAGATTTTCTTCTGAAGCTGTTGGCCACCATAAGCAGCAAATACTGGATTACTGTCTTCAAGATGCAGGATCTCAAGATCTGATCAAACAAAGCAATTCCTGAGTGACAGCAAATTGCTGAAAACATGCCCCAATCCTTCCCTAAGCAGTGAAGAATAAACCAGAACCATGAGCTTCAAAATAAGGTTAGACAACTCCACTTAAGGGGACAGCATCTTACACATAGTTTCAGTTTACGGATGCTATGTAGTAAAAAACCTCAAACATATTGTTCAGACCTTTATCACATTTGACTCCAGTTTCACACATCTGGTATTTGAACTCCCAAAGGTCCCCAGGCCCTCATACAAGGGCGACTCCATTTGTGACGGACTGATAGTCTTCACAGACATCAGATTCAGTTTTGTGTCCAGACTGCAGTGTAGTACTAGCTTCTAGATATAACATTGCAAAAAACAAAAAATAAAAATAGATCACTTTAAGAAAAATTAGCTACATAGAGCTGTATCATAAGCAGGGTTTAACAACCTTTCTAGATAAATAAATGTCAACTATCAAAATGCTGCAATACCTTCAGTTTGCCCTTCTCCTCACACACACTCTCAGTAAGTACATTTCATGATGAAAATGCTGGGCAAAGGCTTTCATCTCCACAGCATAATATGCTATTTAAAGGTGACAAAATATTTCATGACACAGAAAGCCCTAACTCCTCTACAACACACAGAATTGTGTTTTACACTAAGTTATTTCCACTTTTATTCAAAAGAAGCTTCTACAGAAACAACAGTTCTGTTACCAAGATATCAAGATCATCTTGCTCTCATTTCACTCCAGTTTTACACTTGTATCTTGTTGGTGAGAATGGTCACCTTCAAGGTGAGCAAACAGATGCCACTGAAACCTCTGAAGAACTAACAAGTTACCTACTTACCTAAAACAGAATCCATGTTGAGGAAATCACATATTTACTACAGTTTTAAACTGTCTATACTACTGCAGCAGGAAAACAATTCTGTTAGAGTTGCTGTGCACTGACAAGTCATGTTCCACATAATCATTTCTTTCTGCCACTGTATCCTGGTGATAACACCAGGATGATGATCTCCCAGGATTCAATGCTTTTAAAGGTGTTATTTAAAATAGGAGAATGTTTATTTTATATGCTAGCTCTGCTCTTGATAGAGGCCAGACTAAACTGCACAGAAGAATAGCTGCAGTTGAAGACAGACATAAGGAAGCAAGTAAAAACAACACGAACCTGACTGACAGTTCCATCTAATTCAATACTAACAGAAAACTTTTCTACTACTACTTTAGCACTGTAGCAGCTGGCATTAGCACCACACAGCAGAACCATAAATAACACAGGTGGTGAAGGGGAGAAATGAGATTTAAAAAGCTATTATGGCATAGTGATGCAGACTGCATACAAACTCAGCACAAAACCATTTCCC